TTTGCGCGTATAGATACTGAAAGGAAATATTAAAAATGATGAGGCTTAAATTCTTACCTTGCCCTTGCCAAGATGTCACATTGAAAGTATTGAAGTTGCCACGACCACCGTCACCAGATGAGAATATTTCATTATCGGCACTTGTAAAAAAAGAATGTCTATGCGGAGTTGCTGATGTAGCGAATCTACCAATCAACAATTTTTCTGTAGACCGAGGGACAGCTGCTTCGGAGCGAGCACGGACAATACCGAGTCTGTGAGAAGAATTAGTTTCGGTGTTCCCTAATGTAGACGAAGTAGCTGTCGATCCACTAGAAATAAGAGCATGGGAATGGATATTTGCATTAGCAGTAGTAATACTAGTGGCGCTGTTACTGGTGGTAGAAGTGCTATTTGGAGAGGACAGAGGAGATGACAAAAGGGAGGGAGGATCTAGAGAGAGTGGTAGAGGAATCGTGAGTTGATGGCGTGAAATTCCAGTCGTTGAAGAATTAATTTGGCTGCCACGTCGAAGTCTGATCCTTGATGAGTGTCTGTCGGCGCAGTTCTTCACCAAACTGTAAAGCTCGCCAGCCGAGAAACCCAGTAGGATTTTTAAGTCACAGATAAACTTGTAAACAAATCGCTTCCCGTGAACCTAAAGAATTAAATAGTTAGATTGTGATAATTAATATTCAAAAGAATTGATTACCATTGACAAAAAAGCAATAAAAAAAGAATAACTCGGAAATGATCGGTTAATTTGAATGATTAGAACATTATAAGCAAGTGTCTGGAAATTTTGCCTCCTAAAAACGAAAGTTTATGAAAGAGATGGAGTATTATTAGGAAAACAAAGGTCCTTTGTATGATTGTAAGTATAAAAAAGTGAGCAAATGGACCCCACTGCGGACTATGAATAAGCTAACCTGTTACTCTTTATTTTCCCATTAGCAGAAATACAGAGCAAACCGTGGCATGAAATGCTATAAAATAATTATTTCATTAACGCTCCTCCAGAGCGCTATAGAATCAAATAATCATATGGATAAGCCTTTTTTTATATTTCTGGTTAGGCAGATCAATGAATCCCTCCAAGCATTTGGAAATGAATAAATTTACAGAGAATAAAATTAATTTACCTGCGTATTGAAAAGATTTTAAATTAAATGTTCTAAATAAATTTAAAAAATACTTTGGATCGAAATAAAGTAGCTATTTTGATTTAGGTTATTATTATGATTACGTTATTATGACATAGTAAGCGTTTCTAAACGAGATAACTTACTGATCGAGCTAGCTATGGCATCTGTCGTTGGTTCTTAGGACTATAAATTACCTAGATGCAGTCAAATAAGTGATATCCTTCGCACCATCATAAAAATTCATGATAATAGAAAACAAAAAAAGATAACCTAGATATATTCGACTGAAAAGCAAGCTGGCTACCTTGGAGATCATGTCACCATCATAGTAGTATCTGAGTGCTCGAGAAAGCTTCTCATAGTTCATGGCGGGTTTGTTCTTGCGCCGGCCCCACATGGCTGCTACGCGTTCAGGGTTGCTTAGCTTGAACTCGCCATCTTCGCTCACCCAGTGAATCGCTTCTCTATGTCGCCAATCAGTCAGAAGTTCGAGTAGGAATTGCCATAGCTGCACCTGGCATGCAGCCACTGCAGCAGCTGCAGCCGCTGCTGCTGCGGCTGCAGCAGCTACCACTGCGGTCACTGGAGTCGAGGCTGAGTTAGAGGTAACCTTATTGAGTGAAGTGTCTTCGGACAAGCTAGCCTCTGTACTACCTAAAGCTGCTATTGAGCCATTAGTGGAACTGCTTGTAGCTGTGCTACAAGCAACTGCTGCTTTGGCTGGAATCAAAGTACAGGAAGGGGAATGAGAGGAAGCAATGCTGGTGGAACTGCAGGTTGTACTGATGGGGGTCAAGGGGAGAGCTAGCTTGGCCGTGGAGGTATTCACCGTTTTAGGATTCAAATCATCAGGTTCAACATCCTCAGTTGAGAAGGCTGTGCAACCAAATTGCAAGGGCGAGAAAAATTGAAAGCTAGAAAGTCATAATCAGGAGTTGGGATAAAAAAAACTACTAAAAGAACAAGAAAAGGAAACAACATATTGGATTGGATAGCAATAAAACATATTAAGAAACAAGATAAATTGAGTATTTTATGAGGCAAATTATTTTTTAAGAATATGTAGCTGGTAGTATAATATCAATATAAAAATCTCTTCACAGCCCATTGTTACCCATTAAAGCCAGAATTACAGATCATATCTCAGATGCAAAATAGTTTCATTCGAAAAGTGTGCTAAATAATATTTCTTCTTTCTATATGCCAAACTTCCTTATAATTTCAGCCATTACGTTCAATTCAACAAAATTGAGTATGAAGCTGACTTCTTAGTGAAGCTTATAAACAAGAAAAACTAGGAATATCGTATGAAGTTATTCTACCTGCATGGCTAAACCATACTTACTGTTGCTATAAGAATTGAAATAATTCCAGTACTAAGCGTCAAAGCCCACAGCGATGGAATCTGCTAATTATGGCTTCAACATGACTCTGATATTTACATTTAAACATTTGTAGGAAGATTTTAGGTTCCATTAGAGGCATATGTTTTGAATCCAGAAAGAATGGTCAAGAACTGTGGTTAAGTATGTTAAAACTTTTCTTC